CCAGTTAGAAGCACAGCAATCTGTGATAACAATATAATCCTATAGAATTAGTAAAATAAAAAAAACAGAAAAAACATACAGCGGCACTTCAAACTAACTCGAGGAGCAGGTCCCATGAATGCTCCTTCCCCAAGCCGCCCATTTTGGGAGCGCGCCATCAGGCTCCGCTGATTCTGGGCCCGTTCCTGCTCAAGACTCGCTTCTTCATCTTCCAAAATTAGTCAAAAACACCAAGCGCAGTCACACTGCGGCACCGCTGTAGCAATGCCATCTCAGCTCAGTCACAACGATACAAGCAGTGCGCTGAACTGTAACCAATTCTCACTGCTAAATATGCGGTCGGTAACCCGGTACAGTACGCGTTCATAAGCCACCGCAGAAAGCAGAAAAGTGAACTCTAACTGTGACGGAGAGAGCAAGGGAGCGAAGTTTGCTTTGCGTATCCTTTACTGACCAATATAAGTAAATATCAGTCAGATGATGGCTTAAAAGTCGCTGCGATCACTCAAGGGAATGAAATCCGCTGGGCAAGGCATACTGCCTACAATGTTCGAGTGAAATTGCGCATCAGTGTTCGCCTGGGATTTCTTCGGAAAGGTGGCATACATATACAGAACAAGCGAAGGATCTAACAGCCTGGAGCCAGCTTTCGAGCTTTATTATGTCCAGACCTATGACCTCGGGTCCTTATACGACGGTGGAGATCGAAACTATACACAAAACAACAGTGAATTAGTGAGCTCTCATTCACTGGACCAGTTGATATAAATGAACTGGAATTATCCCATAGACTTCATTGCAATTCCAGTTTGTGTGTTTCAAACAAAACCCAGAAAAATGCTACAATTTTAGGTCATAAGACTGTTTGATGAACCTATTCTGCCTTTAATATTTAATACAAAAATGTAATATGTTATTATCTGCTCAGTAAATAGTAACAGTAGGAGATTATGATGAAACCGAAAGTATAATATATCAATCGCCTGAAAAGTCAACTGGAAATTGAGATAGATACAAACATGAGAAACAATGGAGAGAAGCACTTTGTCCAGTTAAATAATAATTCAATGAGTACAGATAAAGTGTAATGGAATAAATCTAAACAGTGTAATATAAAATGACTCCAGTTCCACCTGACTATAAAAGGTCACTCATTTGAACAATTTTGGAAACACTGTACTATTAAGCGAAGTCAAAATTTTGCTGTTTAACAGCTATCAGATAATTAAAAAACACTGCTTGGTTACTTGTGGGCACGGGTATTGCTGACTAACAAAGTCGCTGTCCTCTCAGCAGGCGGCGATTGAATTCTTGATTTTGTTTCTTGCGCCTATGGTACTCCGCCATAATTTCATGTTTATCGTACGAATCAGCTGCTGCAATCACTTGCGACAAAACACTATCGTCAAGCGACGGGGATTGGCTAAGCAGCTCTTCCAACAAACCTTCTTTGAGTTCTCCTTCCTTAAAAAGATTTTTATCGCACAAACGTATTACGAAAACGCTTTTTTGATGGTTTCAGAGTCGAAAATTCAAAGCTTTCTCAATACTATCTGTAAGAAATGGAAAAGACACTTAGAATTAGCCTAACCAGCAGCAAGTGCTAACAGCAAACCCACTCGCTAGCATGCTGTCTACTGCTCCACCATTTGGTAGCTGCTTAGAAGCAAGCTGAAGGGGGACCGAAGTTTACAGATTTAACCCAGGCTGGAAGGCACCAGGCTCGCCGGTGCGATCATACGTTTTTGCACTAAACTTACAGGTCGCTAATATCAGGAATGACCCCTGTGCAGCAGCCTAACACTTGGGCTCATACTGGACGTGCTTTGGCCTCCTATGCAGGGAAAAAGGCGTCGGTTGCGATGAAGGTGATGCATAATAGGGCCGCACGGCCTCCAGGAACATGATTACCAGTTTTTTGCATGAAGCCCGGCCGTTTTTATGCGTTTCTGCCGTGCAGCGCTAGAGCGCTGCAACAGGCAGCAAAAACGCATATTGCAACGACCC